CCCCCGGCTTTTGTCCCAGGCCCAGCCTGCAGCAGAGCTGGTGCGGGCTGGGGGGGTATATGGACCCTGTGTGCAAGGGGAGTGGTTTTCCTGTTAGGTGTGCAAGAGCTTGAGAGGGTCAGTGTCCGTCGGGCTGGAGCAGATATTAATAGCAGTTTCCAAACCAGCCACTGAGATCTAGAAAAGCGTCTTCCCCAGGAGAAGATGAAGCGGCAGGGGTGCTCCCTGTGTCACAAGCACAGAGAATCCTTCAAACCCTCTCCCCGGCCACAGCAGGGTCATCGTCTCCTACCTTGGAAGCAGTAGTAGTGGCAGTCCTGCTCCTTGGTCAGGGCCCGCACAGCGGGGAAGATCACATCCAGCAGCAGGCAGGCCTGCGGGAGCACAGCAGCGCAGGTAGCAGGCGGGCATGGGCTCTCCAGTGGGAGAAAACCCCACCATGAGATGGGCAAGAGCACTGTCTGGGTTTCCTGCTCTCACAGCAGCTCCTTGCTTGCTTTCATTCCCTGTCTGGAAGTCCTCAGCTCTTGAGGACTCGGGATCTGCTGCGGACAGGCAGGGCTGGAGGCTGTGCTCTGCCCGGGGGGCGAGCGCTGCTGCCGCTTCACTTGTGCAGGGGCTACTTTTGGCACCACTGGGCTTCTCGCCCTCCAGGAGAGGGGAATCCCTGCTCTTTAGGAAAAGCAAGCTCCGGGCTAATGTGCTGCACTCAGTGGGATGTGTGGAACTGCTGGTGTGGAGTGGTGCAGCTTGGCTGTGTCCCCCAGGGATCCGCAGCCCCTGCTGGTGGCTGCCAGCCCTGCACAAGGGGCTCTCAAAACCCCTGGCCACTGGGTTTGTGCTCCCCTACCTTGTGGGTGAAGCTCTCCAGCTGGCAGCTGAGGATGTTCGCCTTGCAGCATGTCAGCAAACCTCTGGTGAGCACCAGCTTCTCCAGCCCATCTGGCTTGAGGACAGGGGGGACCTCTACCACCAGCTCACCAAACTTCAGCTCCCTGGCGCCTGGTTGGAAATGGCTGCATTAGATGGCAGAAAGATGGCAAACTCAAATGCTGCTCTGAGAGCAAACTGCCATGGCTCATCCCAGAGTAATCATGGGAGGTGGCCAGTGGCAGCTGGGGCTCCTGCACCCCAACAGCAGGACATGGCAGCAGAGTCCGGCTTGGACTGCTGGTGAGTGGCACCAGCTTCTGTCCCCTTCCACCCAAACATGCCTGTCCCTGTCATCCCCTTCACCAGAGGCCATTCCCAGCTTGGGACAGAGCATGTACCTTGGTTGGGGAGCTGGAAGAGAGCCAGCACGGCGCTGGCCCCATGCTCGGGCTGGGGGGCTGTGTTCACCAGCATGCTCAGGGCTGTACCCGCCAGCAGCCGTGCATCCTTGTTCAGGGCCTGGACTCGCAGGGGAGGCAAAGATAGCTCAAAACATTTGAAAACCAGACCCCATTTAACCTTCCCTCCATGCCCATGCAAGCAACTACACAGGATCCCTCGGACGTCCCAGGCCTTGTGGCTGCCTCTGCAGGCCCCCCTGGGGGAAAGGAATGGGGAAAGCCCCCGGGAAGGATGGCAGCGCTCTGCTCCTGGGGACAGGCAGTACCGTCCCTCCCCAGGGCTGTACTCACCTTCCCCCACACCACCTCCAACAGCAGCCCCAAGAGGCTCTGCAGGGCTTCACTCTTCCCCACTGTGCTCCACACCAGGGGGGCCACATCCTTCGGCAGTGCCTGGAAGAGCTGGAGGCAGGCCTGGAGGGGGAGAAGAAGGGGGGACAGGGGCCGCAGGGATGGCTGTCAGTATCCCTCACCTCTCCAAAAGCCGCGATTCCCCAGGGGTGGCCATTTGAAATGGCACCGTATGCCACATCCCTCCTGGACATCGCTGCCAGTTCCCTGCTGGGAGGGGGCTCCAGCACATCCCTGTCCTTGCAGGGACTGATCTGTACCCCTTCCTCCAAAATTTGGTTCTTACCTTGACAGCCAGGTAGCCCCACGTGCTGCCGGGCGCAGGCTGGCTCTGCAGCACCCAGCACAAGGTGGCGGCCAGGAGCTGCAGCAGTGGAGCCAGGTTCTGCCGCCAGTGCTGCCGGCCCAGGCTGCTCTCCTCCATGAACATGCACACTGTGGGCAAGGGGACAGCATCAGTCCTGGTCCCTCCTGGCACTGTGCCCGCAGCCGGCCCTGCTCCTGGTTAAGCCAAGGGCTGTGCTGCCAGTAAGCAGGGTAAGAAGAGAGATGGGATGCAGGGAATGGTTTGGTTTGTCTGGTTTCCAGATGCCCCAGGTGGGTAGGCAGAGCCACTGGGTGCTGCTGGGACCTCTGCAGAAATCCCACGGATCTGACTGATCCCTGCTCTCCTTCCCACAAGCGCAGAGGACTTGGTCTGGGTGGGCAGGGAGAAGCCCCCGAAGGGGAAGGGAAGGAGCAGGGACTGACCTGACTGAAGGTCCCCAGGAGACAGCACCTGTGGGGGCAGAAGGACAGTTTGTCCCGCGTGACAACATGCTGGGGCTCGGTGTCTTGGGCAGGAGGGTCCTGCCTGTGCCAGAAGCTGTCCCAGTGATGAGCAAAGGGCTGGTATGACGGGCACCCATGTACCACCAGCTGCAAGCAAGGGCGAGCCCCTGGCACGGTGGGAAGAGAAGCAAAGGACCTCAGGCAGCCCAAACCAGGAGGTCCCTGTCACACATGGGCTCCAGCCAAGAGCCTGCAAAAGCTGGTGGCAGCGCCCAACGAGGTGCTCTCACCTCTCCCTGCAGTGCCAGGCCGGCCAGCAGCACGCCCACCTCCTGGGCCAGCAGGGCCTCCTTCCCCACCGCCAGCTGGGTCACTATCTGCCAAGAGACACCCAGGGTCAGCAGGTCCGCCCGGACCCCCAAGAGATACCAGGTGCAACCTGCTTTTAGGGGAGCTCTGTGTTGCCACCGCGGCCGCTTTGCCGGTAAGGATGCACAGCACCAGGGCTGTGCCAGTGGCAGGCAGAGCCGGGCAAGACCACTGCTTGCACTTGTGGCTAACGGAGCTCTGAATCCACAGCCCAGCTGGTTGTGTTACAGACCTGTTCCAGTTTCTGGAAGGAGCTGGAGCTGCCAGTTGCCTCCATCTGGAAAGCCAGGACACAGCGGAGCAGGAGCCGTGCCTCCGCCTCACCTAGTGCCTGCAGAGCCTCGCTCAGCGCCCGTGACAGCAGGAGAGCCTCCTCCAGGTGCTTGTCCTTGCATCTCTTGGCAGTACTCCTGAAACGGGTTGGGGATGGTGGTGAGGATACCCCAGCGTGGTGGGGATTGGGGTGGGGGATACCCCAGCTCAGTGGAGATTAGGGTTGGAAGTGCCTCAGTTCAACGTGGAGCGGAGTGGGGGTACCCCAACTCGATTTGGATTGGGGTGGGGGTGCCTCACCTTGGTGGGGATTAGGACTGGAGTGGGGGTACCCCAACTCGATTTGGATTGCGGTGGGGGTGCCTCACCTTGGTGGGGATTAGGACTGGAGTGGGGGTACCCCAACTCGATTTGGATTGCGGTGGGGGTGCCTCACCTTGGTGGGGATTAGGACTGGAGTGGGGGTACCCCAACTCGATTTGGATTGCGGTGGGGGTGCCTCACCTTGGTGGGGATTAGGACTGGAGTGGGGGTACCCCAACTCGATTTGGATTGCGGTGGGGGTGCCTCACCTTGGTGGGGATTAGGACTGGAGTGGGGGTACCCCAACTCGATTTGGATTGCGGTGGGGGTGCCTCACCTTGGTGGGGATTAGGACTGGAGTGGGGGTACCCCAACTCGATTTGGATTGCGGTGGGGGTGCCTCACCTTGGTGGGGATTAGGACTGGAGTGGGGGTACCCCAACTCGATTTGGATTGCGGTGGGGGTGCCTCACCTTGGTGGGGATTAGGACTGGAGTGGGGGTACCCCAACTCGATTTGGATTGCGGTGGGGGTGCCTCACCTTGGTGGGGATTAGGACTGGAGTGGGGGTACCCCAACTCGATTTGGATTGCGGTGGGGGTGCCTCACCTTGGTGGGGATTAGGACTGGAGTGGGGGTACCCCAACTCGATTTGGATTGCGGTGGGGGTGCCTCACCTTGGTGGGGATTAGGACTGGAGTGGGGGTACCCCAACTCGATTTGGATTGCGGTGGGGGTGCCTCACCTTGGTGGGGATTAGGACTGGAGTGGGGGTACCCCAACTCGATTTGGATTGCGGTGGGGGTGCCTCACCTTGGTGGGGATTAGGACTGGAGTGGGGGTACCCCAACTCGATTTGGATTGCGGTGGGGGTGCCTCACCTTGGTGGGGATTAGGACTGGAGTGGGGGTACCCCAACTCGATTTGGATTGCGGTGGGGGTTTTTTTTAGCCGGCCAGCGTGAGATGGTGGCTGGAAGAACTCTGAAATACCAAACGAAACGCTTCGGGGTGAACCAGCCGTCCCTCTCCGCCGGGCCCCATTGCACCAGAGCAGGTTTGGTCCCCCCGAGCCCTCCTGCCACGCCACAGGCACCATCCCTATTAGCCAGCATCCCTATTAACACCAATAGCCAGCAGAGGACTCTGCTTCTTCCAGCGGGATGGAATGGCCTTTGGAGAAAGAGATTTATAATTATCATTAGATCCAAACGATTTTATCTGGCTTCTTTTTGTCACTTGGCACAGGGTTGAACTATTTTAACGGGTGTGATTTGGGGGCTGGACTAGATGACCTTTAAAGGTCCCTTCCAACCCAAACCATTCTGTGATTCTGTGATTTCTGTGTCTTTATTAAACATAGTTATAACTCCTGACTAGCACATGCCACTGAACTTCACCCAGCAGCTATCCGGAAAGTGCTCCTGGCTGGTTTTGACCTTGAAGGATTGGTTTTCCCCTGGGTTGTCACAGTGGCTGGCGCTGGGGTGAGCGATGGGCATCGGCCGCCGGGGCAAATCAGTGGCACGGGCAGCCCAGGAAAGTGCGGCCGGGACGGGCCAGAGTCTGCGCTGGGTGACCGGGAAGGTGCTGAGATGTGGCTCCCTGGGTAAGTGCTGTGCTTGGGGGCAGAGAGGCCCCAACCTGTAGTTTTTGGCAATACATGACAGCACTATCCATCTCTGTTCTGCTTTAGAAATCAACCTGGATGCCCAAATCCAGCCACGGATCCAGGTTTGCCCTGACTGCTGGCTCTATCGACCAGTGAAACAGCCCAGGATTTGCCCCGGGTAAGGCAGAGCAGTGCAGGAGGACGGTCACGTCCCTCAGACCTGCTCCTCCACTCCCCGAGCCCTGTGGCCATCCCATGCGGGTGAGGGAGCAGGGGGAAGCACTGCCAAACCAGGGCTCCCATGGGTGCCAGCGCCCAGGCAGGGGCAAGGCGAGGGAGAGTGCTCCCATGCTTTAGGGTCTCCGAAGCTCCCGTTCCCATCCCCTTGTGCTGCCTGCAGAAGGGAGGGGCAGGGGAGGAAGAGGGGATTTTTTTTCTGATTTCACCATAGGAAGGATTTTCAAACCCTATAAATTCACTTTTGACAAGCGAACGGCTAAAGCAGATTAACCTTTTTGCTAATCCTCTATAATGGCTTTGGAATCTCCTTAACCAATAAGAAAATGATAAGAGCCTGTTTCTTTTCTTTTTATCTATATCTATATTGTCTTCTCTTGTCTGCATTTTTTTTCTTTCTTGTTTTATTTTCCTTTCCTTTTCTAATATGAAATAGCCCAGCGATCCTATCTCCTGGAGGCTCAGTAAACAGAACATCAATAATCCCTTTCCTTTATTCCTCTCCGGTAACAGGGTGCAGAGAAGTGTCTGCCGATTGGGATTTGATTACCAGCAGCTATCAAAAGTCTCTTTGTAAGATCTGGGTCCTAAATCCCATAATTCTTTGATAAAAGAAGTATTACCAGTCCATTTTCTGAAGTGAAAGGTACGGGAGGAATGAAAGAAAGCAATCAGCGGAGATCCTAATAGGCTAAGTGCATGTGCGGTGGGAAGGCAGGGATGGGCAGGGGAGGCCAGGGAAAGGCGTCCTTTGTTAAGGATGGGGAAGGAGGATTAATCTGCTTCGGGGCTATGATTATTACAGCTGAGAGCAGAAAGGGTCGGATCCTGAGCCTGCCCACGGCACATCCCTGCTCGCCTGCCCTGCCATCACTCTGGACGGCACAGTGTGGGGAGCAGAACCCAGCCCCACATCCACCTCCTGTCTCAGCGTTTGGATATATATATATAAAAGCTGGGAGCAGTTTGCAGTGATCCCTGGCATTAGTGCACCCCCAGTGTCTCTCCGGAGCGCTGACACCTTGGCAGGGCAGAAGGGAACGTATCCAAACCAGGCAGCTACAAAGGCGTCTTCCTCTCAAACCTACAAATATGTAAAGATTCATAGACCATGGTTATAATTTAGGTGATACACCACTGGAACAGCTGAAGGAGAGGCAAATAAAGTGATGGAAGAAAAAATAGTGGTTTGGTTTTAAGTGAGGTCTTACAGAGGTTTGAGGGGCGCAGGTAGAGCAGCTATGGGACATCTCTTCCTGGCAGTGGGAGACCAGCGAGGTGAGGAAGGGCAGGCAGAAAGCAGGGCCAAGGAGAAAATAAAGGGGACTGAGAGGGGGCTCTGCTGGGGACTGGCTCTCGTTTCTGCGCGATGCTGGAGGGGTTGCTGGGCTGTTCAGCATGAGGTCATGAGGTGCCATGAGCGCCTTCGATGCACAGCAATTTCACAGCACTCACCTGTGTGTCTCCTTGGTCTACCGTGAGTGGGACCGGTACCTTCTCTCCCCTGTGAAGAAACACCGAGTGGGAGAGTTCCCCGTGCGAGCTCCCAAAGCCTTGCTACCCACCTGGGCTTAAACCGCACTGAGGGCAAGAGAACTTGGGTTTAAACTTTCCTAAGCAGGCTGAGCTCAATCCCAGGTTCTCTGTTTCAACACCAGTTACTCATTCCAGTTATGAACCCAAGATGGGAGATGACCTCTGTCCTCCCATGGATCACATCTGCCAGGCCTTGCTGTTTGCCCTTGGGAGGGTTGGTGCCAGGTGCCCCCTCCCATCCTCAGTCACCGCTCTTGGCCGTAGCCTCATCCCAGTTTCTCTTGCTGAATGGAAGAAGTTGGGAATTGGACTGACAAAGCTTTGGGGAAGCCTGGCTGCCCCGGGCAGCCGTCCTGGCTGCTCTGGGCTCACTGAACCCCCATTAGCTCCGGCATCGAGACCACGCTCCCACCCGAGCTCCTGTGGGACCTCGCACTCCTCCCCTTCCCAACGCCAAGCAGGGGTACAGCTCGGCTGTACAGGAGGTCGCTATGTGTCACTAAGCTACACCACAGAGCTACCACAGGCTGCCAGTAATCTAATTTATTAAGGGCTTTGAATTCTTTAAGAGTACGTTGGATACATGCAAAGCATCTGCATTATCGCTATGATTAGGGCAGCAGAGGTGGGGGAAAGAGGAAGGAGGGAAAATACAATTTTTATGCTTTCAGCAGAAAATAAATCAACTTTCACAGAGTTCTGGCGAAGCAAAAGGCTGTTCTATCATTAAAAATGATTTTTTCTTAAGCTGAACTCTCTCTTTTCTGATATTGTATGATATGACAGCTCTCTTTTGATGGGAAAGCTTTCATTTGGCCAGAGAAAGGGATAATTTGCTTCTTTTAAGGAGTTAATCCTCTGGTCCATTTCCGGGCTGGGAACAGCTATCCTCCCCCTTCCTTGGATCCGAGGCGGCAGCACAATGGAGATCATAACCACCTCAAATCTACACCCGAGATGGAGAAATCAGATTTCCTTCTCCAGTCATTTTTGTGGGATTAGCTAAATCTTAGATCCACACTAACCCTTCACAAAGCTGCCAAGATTAGTTAGAATTTATTTTATTCACAGGGGGGTTTACGGTTTTCTTTCCAAAGGGATTATATCTCTGTCTATATATATATATATTTAGGGTGGCTTCAGTCATAAAGCAGCTAGGTTAGAGGGAGAAAAAGTGCATGTGCGTATAAAATAAAAACTCAGCTGCCAGAATGACAGTCACTTGAAACGCCAAGACAAAGCAGCGATTCTGGATGGTTTCACCGGTCCATTTTAAAAGCTACGTAAGCTTTCTTTTTCCCTGCAAGACCCCAGACCAGAGTTAGTGCACAGAGAGCAAACCCTGCTCAGCGTGAGCTGCCTGTTCCCGCGGCTGCTGCTGCCAGCAGAGGATGTCTTCAGAGTCAGCATCGGACACCGACGCTGGCAGGAGAGGCCTCAAGAAGCCGTGTTCATTCAGCATTGAGGACATCCTCTCCAGCCCAGCAGAGAAAAGCCCCCAGGTCCTGGTCCCACTCTGCCTGCGGGGCATCTTGGACTGCGCACCCAAGGGGCTGTGTGAACTGGAGGCCATCCCAGCCAGCTCCCTGCAGGAAGAAGAGGAGGAGGAGGAGGAAGAGCTGGAAGGGGCAGGCTGCAACTGCTGCTGCTGTTCTCACACCAGCACCCGTTCCCGGCAGGACTTGCCGAGTTGGCTGGGTGAGTGTTTGGGTTTGTTTTGGGTTGTCAGGCTCTGGAATGGGCTGCCCAGGGAGGTGGTCGAGTCCCCGTCCCTGGAGATACTTAAAAGGATAGATGAGGTGCTTCGGGACATGGTTTAGTAGTGGGATGGCAGGGTTAGGTTAATGGTTTGACTTGATGATCTTAAAGGTCTTTTCCAACCTAAACGATTTTATGATTCTATGATTCTATGATTCACGGCATAGGGCTCATGGAGGGGCTGGTGCCAGCACCGGGTGGAGGGGAAAGCCTGGGCGCTGAGTGACGATATAGCGCCTGGCCTGCCACTGCGGTGGTCTTCTCAGACCCCAGCTCTGGCGAGGGGCAGCAGGATCCATTCCCAGCATGGCTCCTAAGAGCTCATGCAGTGCTACCAGGTTTTTAAAAGCAGCAGAGGCTATATACTGTACATGACTGTTTTACTGTAAAACCGAGAGGAGGATGGTTCTAGGGGTGGAAGTTCTCTGTGGAGTGTGGGGCCCCGTGGTCATGCTGCCCACGCACAGATCTCTGCCTGTGCTTCCTGACAACACTGGCCCTGGGGAACCTCACTTGGCCTTTAAGGAAAAGAGGTTTTGGCTACATCTAGCAAAATTACTGCGTCTAGCACTAAAAAAAAAAAGAAAAAAAGAAGGTAGCAAACCCTTAAAAATGCAGTTCAAGACCATCCTGAAAGTTCAGAAATCCCCCATGTCAGGACTGAAACACAGCCCCTAGCCGGGCTGTGAGTTTCCATCCATTTTCTGGAGCTGGCTATAGTGCAATTGGTAAGTAAACAAGGAAAACGCAACCAGTGCTCCCCGCCTGCACACTTCCCCCAGAGTGATGCCCTAAGCCCTTTTCTCACTTGCGCAGTGATCATGCAGCTCATCCCCCACGCCAGCTGGCCGGCTGCCTCCCTCCAAGCCACATGCATGGATTCAACTTGTGCCTGAACTGCCTTGAGCAAGGTGGGTGTTTCAGCCCCTCACCCCTAACGCTGCCGCTGCACCTCTCCCCCTGCAGACACCCGGTTCCCCTGGCCTGTGCAGCTCTTCCACTCGGCAGTCAGGGTCTGCAAGAGTCCCCAGGGGAGCCCGAGCAAGCTGCAGACTTTCCACCAGATCCAGCGCCGGACACGCCGGCATCGCACCATATTCACCGAGGATCAGCTGCAGGCCCTGGAGACACTTTTCCATCAGAACCAGTACCCAGATGTCATCACCCGCGAGCACCTGGCAAACCGCATTCACTTGAAGGAGGAGAGGGTAGAGGTGAGATCCCACCGCTCGGGGAGGGGCTGTTTGCTCCAACCCACTGTGAACACAGACCAGGGCATTGTACTGTTGTTTTTGGGAGCTGCAGACCCAGGGGCTCATTTTGAAGACCATTCTTGGGTATTCGACAAAACACAGTTCAGGTGTGGCAAGCAACAGAAGAACATAAAACAGTTCCGCTGCACTGTTTCGTTCTGGTATCCGGTCTCGTAATCTCACTCTGTCTCTCTCAGATTCACCTCTACGCCCACAGGCGTGCCCAGTTCTGCCCATCCCCTGCACCCGACTGTATGTTCCTTATTTATGTGATCCTTATGAATTCTGAATTTGCCATGAGGGGGGTCCCAGCTCCCTTGTGACCCTTACATGTATCTGAGCAGGATTGCAGGGGAGGGACTGATTAGATTTTGTATCAAACTTTTATATCGGGAAATATATTGCAGTATCACAAAGCTTAGGCTGCACAGCCCAGGAGCGTAACTGCCTGCCCCCCTCCAAGTAACACATGCAATGCAAAAGTTCTTCTTTTTTTTGCACTTTCTAGGTTTGGTTTAAAAATCGGCGGGCCAAGTGGCGGCATCAGAAGAGGGCGTCTGCTTCAGCGCTGATCCTTCAAGGCACCAAGAAGCTCTCTGAGGAGAGCTGTTAGTGGTCACAGGCTGCATCTCAGCAGATGAGCGCCAAGAGCATCCATCTCCCGTAGCTGACAGGTTCTGTAGGGTGGTAGCCCAAGGGGTGCTAATGAAGCAATTCCCAGAGGAGGAGGATGTGTAAAAGCAGACATGGTACTTTCCCGTGCCAGTTCCTCTTCCAAACCTAGTTCACGTGGCAAATAACTCACCAGGCATGACCCTCAGATGCTTAAGCAGAAACCACTGCCAAAAGCCCGTGCAGGGGACAGAGCTCTACCAGCATTAAACATGTGTGCTTCAGGAGAAGGGGAGACTCCCCTTCTTGTCTTTGCTCTGTGCAGGTAGTACTTGTGCTTGTTTTACCACTGTAGATTTGCGAAATATCCTGCAAATGAATGTTCCCTATTTTCAGCGCCTCGATAGCATCTGGAGTTGCTTTTGAGGTTGAGCTTACTGAACGGGCGATTTGTTCCTGAACCAAGAAACATGGATTTCTCCCTACAGCCGGTGGGAGCGATGATCCATCCGCTGTGGTGAGAGGGGTCGGCATGGCAAGCGCTCAGCTCGCCTCCATGGCCAGCCCATGCCGGTTCCCTGCCCGTGCAAGCGGTGTCCCCACGGCAGGGCTGAAGAGAAACCACGTCCTGTAAAGCAGTGAGATAAATAAAACTGTCCCCGTCACCTCTGTGCGTGCTGTGGAGAGCCGGCGGCGGGGCCCCGGCC